CTTCAGGAAAGAGTGAAGAAGATATCTCAGTTGAGCCTTAAAAGTAAATAGGGCCAGGTTCTAGTGGCTCACACTGTAATCTTAGCTACTCAGGAGGCAGGGATCAGGAGGATAGAGGTTCAAAGCCAACTCTGGGCAAATAATTAAAACTCATCACAAAAAAAGTGCTGATGGAGTAGCTCAAGGTGAAGGCCCTGAGTTCAAACCCCAGCACTTCAAAAAAAAAAAAAAAAGTAAAGAGGATTTGCACAAAAGGAAATTTGCTAAATTTAAAAAGAGATTAGTGTCTTTGTGTACTGTCCTGAGTGTTAATTTAGTAACAGAATCCTTCACTAATTCTCATCACAGACATTAAAAAGAAAGTTATTGCATAGTTGGGTATGATGGTATAATCCCAGAACTCAGGAAACAGAGAAAGGAGGATCTTGAGTTCAAGGCCAGACTAGGCTTCATAGTAAATTCCATGCCAGCCTAGGTTATATAATGAGATCTTGCCTCAAAACAAAGACAAATATAAAAATAAAAACAAAGCTGTAGTGCTTCCAATGGATGGATTTATAAACAAGGGCACAGGGACTTGTGAGGAACTAAATCAGATTGCTGTTAGGCTCAGAACCATTTTCTCTAGGAGGACTTAGATTCTCCCCATTCTGAGTTTGAACTATACTATATAGTTCTGAACTGATTCATGTATTGATATTTTGCCTTGTAAAGTTCACTTCCGTTTCTTCTCCTTTCACATAAAGATGTGTAGAAATTGTATAATTGTATACATTCTGTACACTGTGAATGATAAATCTCTAAGAAGTATCCATGTTAACCAGTGGTTATAAGATTCAGTTGAAATACTAGAGCCAGGACAATTGTGAGTTCAAGCCAACTATAGACAGCCTAGGCTCCATAGAGACCCCGTCTAAAAAAAAAAAAAAAATCAGATATAATAATCTATGGCTCAGGTGATGTTACAACACTTTGTAAACTATAAAGAACTGTGAACATTAGATTCATAAATTTGAAGTAATTTGAAGGTGAGATAAGATAAATGAAGTGTACATAGCCCAAGATGACAGACAGCTAGAACCAGAATCCAGACTTTCTGATTACTATCAAGGCTAGCCCTTTTTTCTCACTACATGCCAAGGTTAGGGACCAGTTTAAGAGTTAAGGAAATCACACTGCTCAAGATAAATAGGATTCTTCCTCTGAAGAAGTCTATATAGGGGGAAGGTCAACAAAAAATGTAAACAAGTTAAACACAATTATGGCAAATTGTGATAAATAATATGACAAAATAGATTGCTTTAGGGCCTGGTAGAGTGGTACAGCCTGCAGTTCAACCCCCAGTACTGCCAAAAAGATTGCTTTAGATAAGACTCCTGTAAGCAGGTAACATTTGTGATCTACCTGAAGGAGAATGAAAGCAGTCAACTGGGAATTGAGCTGAGTGGCTCAAGTGGTAGAGCACCTGCCTAGCAAGTTTGAGGCCCTGAGTTCAAGCCCCCAGTGCTGGAAAAAAAAAAAAAATGGTGGGGAGGAAGGGAAGAGCTTTCTTGGATAGAGGAAACAGTAAGTTCAAAGTCCTGAGGTGGGAAAAAGCTTAGCAGAGTTCACCAGGTGAGGCAGGACAGATAGATGAAGACAGGGAAATTATATTATTTTAGTAAATATTTAAAGGGTCGGACTCAGACGTTGGAATGAGGAAGTAAAAACTGAAAAGCCAGAGCATCTAGCCCCTCCCATCTCCTTTTAGATACTAAGTTTACAGGCGACATAAAAGTACTACCTGCCTCTGCTTTTCTCTTTGAGATACTTACAAGCTCCTAGGCTCCTTGGATGGGTGGAGAATATCCTATTTGGCAGAGGGAAGTTCTAAGCACACCTATTATCTCTGTGTTTTGGGTGGTCCAGGATGACCTATCCTGTTTTAACAGCCACCTCAACCACCCATATCTATTATTTTTCCTCCTCCTCCCCACTGGGGTTTGAACTCAGGGCCTACACCTTGAGCCACTTCACCATCCCTTTTTTGTGATGGGTTTTTCCAGATAGGGTCTCACAAACTATTTGCCTGTGTTGGCTTTGAACCTTGAACCTCAATCCTCCTGATATCTGCCTCCTGAGTAGCTAGGATTACAGGCGTGAAACATTGGAGCCTGGCAGATCCATTATCTTTGACCACTTGTATTTCCCTTCCCCTAGCTCTCCAGTATAAGACTAAGAGATGGGGGCCACCATTTGAGTCTCTATTCCCATTTTCTGCATGAGGGCAGGAAATGTTTCTCTTTTTTCCCCCATTTCTCCCCACTTTTGTCCTGTTACACTAACTTTCTTTCTTTACTCTTATGTTTACAACATCTTTTGCATATTGCTTGAATTCTTTTCCTGCCATATACAAGAACCAATGTATTTACCAGTGCTATTTTTCCATTAACACGGGGACTGATAAGAGGCCAGGGTGAGGATAAAGCCATGTTACAGTACAGAGCAGCTGGATCAAGGGTCACAAAGTCAGAGGCACTGCAGGGCCTCAATGTAAATAGAAAAACTGATGAGGTGTAAAAATAAGCGATGTGGAGTGTGGAAGTCTGGAGTACAGTTATCTCATTTATAGAGCCATAAGGTCCTTATTGCTTAGCTGTGCCAGATCTCTAAGAGACAGGTACTGGACTGGTGGACTATGGATGTAGCCTAGAATGTGCATGGCCTTTGTTTGATCCCCAGAACTACAAAAAAAAAAAAAAAAATCTAAATTTTTAGAGTAATTTCCTGATTTTTCTTTTTGCGGTACTGGGATTTGAACTCAGGGCCTACACCTTGAGCCACTTCACCAGCCCTTTTTTGTGAAGGTTTTTTTTCGAGACAGGGTCTCGAGAACTATTTGCCCAGGCTGGCTTTGAACTGAAATCCTCCTGAGTAGCTAGGATTACAGAAGTCAGCCACCAGCTATGTTGGGTATTTTTGAGATAGGGTTCGGAGAACTATTTGCCTGGGCTGTATTTGAGGCAGACCAGGACATAGAAGATATCAGAATTTTTAAAACAGACATAACTTTGGCAGGGGTCAGTTTTTTCTTTTTTTAATTTTGCTAGGCAGGTACTCTACCAGTTGAGCCACTCTGCCAGCCCTGGTTGTTTTTTGGTTTTGTTTTGTTTTGGGGTGTGTGTGTGTGTGTGTGTGTTTGATATATAGCCTAGGCCAGCCTCGAACTTGAAATCCTCCTGCTTCAGTCTCTTGAATGCTGAGATTATAGACCTGTGCCATTGGGACTCGCCCTAAGTATTTTTGATCTGAGTTGGTTGAACTCACAGATGTGAGGGCCAGTTGTACATATAGACTTCTATGGATACACACAAGGATATGCTTTTTTTCTTTCTTTTGTTGGTACTGGGCTTTGAACTCAGGGTCTCCACCTTGAGCCACTCCACCAGTCCTTTTTTGTGAAGGGTTTTTTCAAGATAGGTTCTCACCAAGTATTTGCCCAGGCTAGCTTCCAACTATGATCCTCTCTCTCTCTGCCTCCTGAGTAGCTAGGATTATAGGCATGAGCCACTGGTGCCTGGTTTAAAATCTATTCCTTGAAGTTGAACTTCAGTTGAGTTGGGAGTCTCACTTTTTTTTTTTGGCTGCACTGGAGTTTGAACTCAGGGCCTCATGCTTGCTAGCCGAGCACTCTACATTTGAGCCACTCCACCAGCCCAAGGATGTGCTTTTAGTTTCCCAAGGCTCTACTGCATTATCACTGGGGAAACAAAGGGTATAAAAATAACTTGCACCAAGAAGTTAAAAGGGGCTGGGCACCAGTGGCTCACGCCTGTAATCCTAGCTACTCAGGAGGCAGATATTAGGAGGATCCTGATTTGAAGCCAGCCCCAGGCAAATAGTTCTCCAGACTTGGAGAAAATACCCAACACAATGATGGCAGAGTGGCTCAATTGGTAAGAGCACCCGCCTAGCAAGTGTTTAGACCCTGAGTTCAAACCCCAATACCACCCAAAAAAAAGAAAATACCCAACACAAGCCAGGCACCAGGGGCTCACGCCTGTAATCCTAGCTACTCAGGAGGCAGAGATCAGGAGGATCGTGGTTCAAACCCAGCCCTGGCTTTTGAGACTCTATCTCGAAAAAAACCTATCACAAAAATAGGGGTGGCTGAGTGACTCAAGTGATGGAGTGCCTGCCTAGCAAGCATAAGGCTCTGAGTTCAAATCTACATACTGCCAGAAAAAAAAAATGGTACAGAATTCAGTTGTTAACAATTCTGGTCCCTCACGCTTGCTCAGACAGTAACTAGACAGTCTAGGACTCTAGAATTAGGATATTATTTTTAAGTGTGCACGTGACAACCTCTGGCTATTTTCTAATCCCTAAAATTTTCATCACAACACCTTCCTCTGAAGGGTTGCTGGGATGCTAAAATGAGATAAAGGATATAGCTAACGTTTGACTCAGCCCTACTCACCAAAGTTCCCCTGGGGACATTTTCTCGCAGTTTCAGGACATTTCCGAAGCCTTCTACCGAATTTTCTTTAGTACTGGTCTCGCACATACTAATCCTTCCACAAAAACGACTGAGCTGAAAACTGACGACTGGTTGGCGTGGAAGGGGAACTCCAACACAGATACTTTCGGAAAATGCTGCTGGGCCTTCGGTACTGGATAGCGGTACCTTTTGGAACTCCCGTGGTGCTCTCACATCCAGCCTGGCTGGCCTAATCCAAACAGTCCATTTAACCACCGTCTAACTTAAATCCTGGCAGCTAGTAAAAGCCAGGGCCCGTCACGTCTCAACAGCAAAAAAGTGAGACTAAAATTCAGTAGGTACAAAAGATCCGCCTCCTTCCATAGGAAAACCAGTCAGCGCTCCGCTCGTGATGAGCGGCAGTTCGCTAGGAGCCAATGACTTCCACTCCCTGGGAGGAAACCGCCCATCCCTTGTGTCGTCACTCGGTCTCCTAAAAAGATAATGCTAAAGCGCGGCGCTTCCTGGTAGCTAGCTGGGGTGGCCGGTGTTTGCGCTGAAACGTGACCGTAGCCCGACCTTAAAGGGGAGGGAGCAGAGGGTGGCCGGAGTTCTTTAAAACTAGTCTGACGGGTGCCTGCCCCTTTAAGGACCGAATCTGAGCCCCAGATTACCCTGAGTTTCCGTCACTGGCCGAGAGGGAAGACTCCTTAGCTGGGTCCGGGTGCTTGGCGGCGGCGGCCTCATCCCCGCTCGTCCTCCCCGGGCCCGGAGACAACCCCAGCTCCAGTCATGCTGAGCAGAGTATGGAAGCAGCTGACTACGAAGTGCTATCCGTGCGAGAGCAGCTATTCCACGAGAGGGTCCGCGAGTGCATCGTGAGTGCGGGATCTGGGCAGGAAGGGGATCCAGGTGGGAGAGGTACTGGTGTTGGGAAAGAAGGGGAAAAGTTCGGGTCTGAGTGTGACCACCTGGGCCCAGAGCGCTGCTGTCCCTGCTTGAACCTAGGGCTGGCGATGAAGGCCTTGGGTTGGAGAGAAAGGCCGATGCCGGGCTGGCTAACCCCTCGCTCGGATCCGCTGGGTCCCTGCGCCGTAAACAAAGCCCGACGGTTTCCGTTCCTCCTCTGCACGCCCCTCCCCCAACCCCCTCCTGTCCCCTTCCTCCGAGGGCGTTCCCGGCCGTGGGTCTTTAAGTTTTATAAGCTGAGAGGGATGGATTTAATTCGGGGCGGGTTGGTTTGCGGGTCCCCGTCTTAATCTGAGTTGGCGGCAATCCCACTAATTTTGGCTGAAGGGGAGACCTCGTAACAATGAACTAGATTCCAGGAAAGACTTGGAAAGTGTAGTGATGCGGGCGAGAGAAATAGGGGACTTGGCGTGTGATCTCCCACTTTGGAAGACAGTACTATTGCTGGGGTGGATTCTAAGGTGTGGGAATGGGGAACCATCCCGTACGTCCGTCTGTATATTCCGCACCGCCCCCGCCCCCCGTGCCCTGTTCCTCGTCCCCATTGATGTTTTTCTGTGTTTGTGCTGGGAATTGAATCCAGTGCCTCTGGCATGTCAAGCACGTGTTCTACCATTGAGCTACTTCCTCGGCTCCCTCCTTGATGTTTGTTTGAAACTCTTCAGGGCTAGGTTCCCAGTTTCCCAGCCATTGAGGTATTTTCCCTGAGAATGGTCTCCTTGGTGCTTCTGAGCACACCTGGCTGTTGTTCCTTACTCCCTCTATCACCTAGAGCAACAGCTGAACCTGCCACACAGCAGTGTACTCCTCATTTCTGGGCTGCTGAGACCGCAGTGGAGGTTAGGGAGTCATCTTCCTTAGGCCTGCTTTGGAGTCTCATCTCTGCTTTCTCTTGTTTCTTCCTCAGAGCTCCCCAAATACTGAATAAAAAGGGAAAGGTTTGGAGGAATAGAAAGAAGAGTTAGTAAGTTAGGGGGAGGGACTGATGGACTCATCTTTGGTTTTTTTGGCACAGCTGATTAAACCTAGGGCCTTGCACTTGCTAGGCAAGCGCACAGAGCTACAGCCCTAGCTTTTGGTTTTTATTATTTATTTATGTTTTTGCACTACCGGAGTTTGAACTCAGGGCCTACATCTTGAGCCACTCCACCAGCCCTGGAGTTTGAACTCAAGGCTTCATGCTTGCAAAGCAGGCACTCTACCAATTGAGTCATGCCTCCAGCCCTCTTGGGGTTTTTTTTGGTGGTATTGGGGTTTGAACTCAGGGTCTCATTCTTGCTAGGCAGGCACTCTACCATGAGAGCCACTCCACCAGCCCCTTGTGGTGTTGGGTATTTTCCAGATATGGTCTCACAAACTATTTGCCCAGGCTGGCTTCCAACTGCGATCCTCCTGATCTCTGCCTCCTGAGTAGTTAGGATTACAGTAGTTAGGAGTAAGCCACTGGCAGCCTGCCCTCTTGGTTTTTTGAGACAGGGTCTTGCGATGTAGCCCAGGCTAACTTCAAACTCATGATCTGCCTGGCTCTGCCTCCCAAGTGATAGGATTACAGGTATGTGCCCTCATTCTTCATTTGTCTCAGGCTGGGCTCTAGGTCACCCTGAGTACCCTCAGGTTGGAAAAAGAGTAAAGTGAACCAAGATATATTAAGTCTGCTCTTATCTGTGACAACTGGGAAGTAGGAACTATATCACTCCATGTATGGGACTCCAGGAGAGTCAGGAAGCCTTCCTTGTATGTTCTTTGGTGGTTAGGCCCACATGGTAACATTGGACATACTATAGAGACACACCCAGGACTTGAGACAGTGTGGAGCAAGAGACTCACATTCCCAGACAACAAGGAGGGATGAAGAACTGAGGATATAGCTCAGTGGTAAAGAGCTTGCCTAGCATGCATATTGGTCTGGCGGAGTGGCTCAGGAGGAAAGAGCACTTACCTAGCAAGTGTGAGGCCCTGAGTTCAAACCCCAGTGCCGTCCAGAAAAAAAAAAAAAAACAAAGGCTTGTAAAGCTGGATACCAGCGGTTCATACCCGTAATCTTAGCTACTCAGGAGGCAGAGATCAGGAGGATCGTGATTCGAAGCCAGCCCAGGCAAATAGTTTCCAAGACCCTATCTTGAAAACACTTAACACAAAAAGGGCTGGTAGAGTGGCTCAAAAGTGTAGGCCCTGAGTTCAAGCCCCAGTACTGCAAAATAAATAAATAAAGGAGGGATAAGACCTTAGACAGAAGCAGCTTCCTGAATGTCTCAAATGTCTCCCCCATCCTTTAGTGCCATTAGCTTAGAACATCAGTGCTTGCCAAGGGCAGCCTTAATAAAAGGCTTCTGGTGCCTCCCTCATCTGGCTCCCATCTAAAGTCTAGAGAACAATCTAGCCTCCACTGGAACTTCATGGAACTCTGGTCTGACCTTTTGAGCCCTCCCACCTTCCTGGCTATTACACAAGCCCAGGACAGAGCACTAAAGCTGTAAAAATTCTGCAGCTAAGCCAGGTGTGCTGGTGGCTCACATCTATAATCCTAGCTATTCAAGAGGTAGAGATCAAGAGGATTGTGGTTCGAAGCTAGCCTGGGCAGATGGCTCTTGAGACCCTATCTTGAAAAAACCCAAAACGGGGCTGGCAGTGGCTCAATTGGTAGAGCACCTGCCTAGCAAGTTTGAGGCCCTGAGATCAAATTCCAGTATTGTCAAAAAAAAAAAAAGTTCTGTAGCTACAACTGTAGCTTAGACTGGAGATGTGGCTCAAGTGGTAGAGCACCTGCTTTGTAAGTGTAAAAAAATCTTTGTCCTAGACTCATGGTTCTCTTCCCCCTCGTATAGATAGCTATATGCAGATTCCTTGGAGGGTCAGTTCCTCTTAGAGGACTAGGAGACCCATTGAGATTGATCTTGTCTTAGCCTACCTCAGTGTCAACTTTTCTTGGGACTCTCTGGCCTTGATTATGGAGCCAAGTTGACCAGTGGCTCCTCCTCTGGGCAATAGCAGCTGACTTGGGGCAGGATAGGGATGTATATACTGGTTAATCTGGCTAAGTTCTTTTACAACTGTCAATAGGAGGTCCAGCCACTCAGGAGCAATGGATAAGCCTTAAGAGGCCTGGCCCTATAACTAGAAATCACTTGTAGTAGGGTCCAGGGATTGACTGCCCTAAAGTGTCTGGTACTGGCTATAGGAACCTTATAGATGTTGGGCCCCAACCAAAGGCTACTCTTACCTTAAATGAGGATTAAGTGAAGCTCTAATTTGGTTCAGAGCAGATCTGGTCTTTTAGGATTCCTGAATAAACAAAGAGTAGAAGTTCTGACTTGGTCTAGAAATATGATTATCTACATCTTCCTGGAGCTTTGTTCAAGACAACAGCTAGAGTGGGGTAAGAGGGGAGTGCCAGGACATTGCAGACATCTTCCTCTCTTCAAACCTGCTATCCTTTCCAGTAATGTTCTTGAAGTGTGTTCTCTGGTTCTGTGGCCTGATTTAGAGAGAGAGAGAGAGACAGAGAGAGAGAGAGAGAGAGAGAGAGTGTTTGTGTGTGTGTGTGTGTGTGTGTGTGTGTTATCTCCTTTGCCTGTTTACCAACCAGATTTAGACTGAACCTATTTTCTCCTAGGAAAGTCCTTGTAGTGTTGGGCATGGTGCTATTTCCTCAGGTGCAGGGGAAAGCCCCTATCGGGACCTTCTTAAAGCCCTAACTAGTGATGGTGAGAAAGAGCTTGTTTCAAGGAAACAGCCCCATGGAATTACTAGAAAGGCTTTTGGAGCTGTGGAATGTGCTAGAAATTAGAGCTTCTCATCCCAGTTTACTTTCTACCACAGATCTCAATACTTCTGTTTGCGACACTCTACATCCTCTGCCACATCTTCCTGACCCGCTTCAAGAAGCCAACTGAGTTCACCACAGGTACCCAAGACTTCCTTCCCTTCTGTCAGAGTTCCTGTTGCCATGGAGCCAGCCTCAGGGGAATGGGCACTGGTGCCTGCTGGGAAAGGAGAGGCAGCTGTGCGGGGCTGTTCTGTAGCCTTTGCTTTTTTAGCTCTCCTCCCTCCAGAGGTAGGGTCAAGGTGTTATGGTGGGAGGTCTAAATAGAAATGTCTGCAAGCTGTTAAGTAGGTCAGATAGTTTTTCTAAGCCTCAGTTACATCCTATAAAATGTACTAGGTATAATGTCTACCTAGTACATTGTCATTGTGTGGACAAAATGAGGGCCCTTTGTGCACCCAAAGTATGTCATCATGGGCAAATGTTCTGAGTCATCTTCTCTCTTAGTGCTCCCATACCCTGCACTAGAGACCTTCCTGACCATTGAGGTTCCAGGATCTGATGCTGGTAGCCTTTCTCTTTGCAGAGAACCTAATGTGCTCAGATGGTAGCTTTCCTTCCTGAAGACCTATGATTGGGGTAGAGGACCACCCTTGTGTCAGGGCTTAGCCCCAGTCCACTCAGATCATCCTGTCCTGGCCCTAGCCTTTCCTTCCCTCAGGATGACTTCATGAGCTGCCATCTAACAAGGCAGCTGTCCTAGTATAATTCCCTAGAGACTTTCTCTGAATCTCTCCTTCTCCCTTCCTTTATCTCTCTTCCTTTCACTCAGCCACTGATGTAACCAACCTCACAAACCAGTGATGGGAGATACTGTGGGGAGGAAGGAGAGAAATAGGGGAATTTCTAGTATTTATTCTCCATATAGCACCATGATCTTTAAGCTGCCACCCTGGTTGGAGAATAGGTTGTGGGGTTCATTGTGTAAGGTCTCCCATAGACTCCTTTCTAGCTCTGCCTCCATTCAGGGTACAGGGATGGGACAGGGGACACATTGTAACACGGTTGGTTCCCAAAGCTGCCTAGTAATGTCCTGCCTTTTCCTTACGTCTTTTTCTTTTTTTGTGTGTGTGTGTACACATTTAGTTTTATTGTAACAAAGCAACTTGTACACTTTTAACGTTTAAAACTGAGCATCTTTTCCTTTCCAGTGTCCTTATGTCTTTTTCTTTTGCAGTGGATGATGAAGATGCCACAGTCAATAAGATTGCGTAAGTGTCATTGTCTTCAGCACCTGACATCAGTGGCCTTTAGGAGCTGGGATCAAGGGAGACCTCTACAGCAGGAGGAAGAAGAGGGGTTATCACCCACTGGAAAAAGAGTTTCTACTTCCACCCTATTTCTGGCTTCTTCCGGCTTTACCCTACCCTGAGGACGCTTAAAAAAGCTGTTGTTCCTGTCTCCCTGGTTAGGCCAGGAGCTTCTGGGAGCCTCATAGCCAGGAACTGTTGGCTGGGGCATGAGTCACCAGAAATGGCTCTAGCTTGGCTTCACCTCCCAGCAGTAAATGGTGGGGGGATGGGGAGATAGGGGTTCAGAGTGTGGAGGAGATGGAAGTTCCTGAGGGCAGAGAATGCTTGGTTCTGAGAGAAAGGCTGTACTCTACTATTCTTATTTACTAGCTTACATAGAGAAAAATACAGAGATGTCCTGCTGGGTCAACATATTGGGGGAGCCCTGCGCCTTTGATGAACCAACTAGATAAAAAGTGATCCCCTACTCCTTTTCACCTGATGTGGCCCAGGATGCAGGCCTTGGGTATGAAGCTGGGTTTCAGCTTCTTTTTGTCCTTCTCTGTGCTAGTGCCTTCTTGCAGGGGATAACCATATGGGGTGAGTCTGCTCTTAACCACACTGGAAGGTACAAGCTTAGAAATCCATATCCCTGAGCAGAGGAGAGAAGCCACACCCCTTAGGTTGGCATCATGCCTAGCACACCCTATACGCATGCACAGGAGGACCACATTCCTAGGACAATCTGGGCAAGTGACATGGCAGGTGACCAGGTGCCAATAAATGCCTGAGGTTGTGCCCATCCCATGTGCCAAGGTTTCCCTGGAGGTAAAGGATAACTTCCCGAGCTGGTTGTAGAAGCCACAGGTGTCTTTGGATACATATGGAGCTTTTTGTGCACAGGGTAGTAAGTGCTGAACTAAGCACTGTCCTCTTCTCTGCCCAGGCTTGAGCTATGCACCTTTACCCTGGCTGTCGCCCTGGGTGCTGTTCTGCTCCTGCCCTTTTCCATCATCAGCAACGAGGTGCTGCTCTCACTGCCACGGAACTACTACATCCAGTGGCTCAATGGCTCCCTCATCCATGGTATGTGGCTTTGAACTGTATCTTGAAGTGGGGAGGGGGAAGGTAGTCAGGCAGACCCAGGCAGCCTTGGGCTAGTTATGTGTCACCCATCTTCCCCTCCCCCATCACATGGCCAGTTCTCTATGGGTTGCCCCTTGCTGACCACGTCTACTTTGCCTTTTTGGCTCTAGGCCTCTGGAACCTTGTTTTTCTCTTCTCCAACCTGTCGCTCATCTTCCTCATGCCCTTTGCATACTTCTTCACAGAATCTGAGGGCTTTGCTGGCTCCAGAAAGGTAAGTAGGAGGTAAACAGATAATCCAGGCAAGAAACAGAACTATAGGGTTGACAGAAAATTTTGATGAGATGATTTGCAGAGGTTTAGCAAAAAATTATGGGAACAGGGCTGGTGGAGTGGCTCAAGCAGTAGAGCACCTGCCTAGCAAGCATGAGGCCCTAAGTTCAAACCCTAGTACTGCCCCTCCCCCCAAAAAAAATGTTATGGGTACCAACAAGGAGTCTGAGGCTGTAGTGACAATAGGAACTTGTGGCCACCTCAGGCTCATGGATTGGAGAGTGCCAGGGCAGAGCAATTTAGAATTGAAGGGAAATACCTGTCGCCATCTCTTGAATCCAGATCTCTTTGGTTCCCCCAGCCCAGCCCCTATCTCTGATGTCTCCTTCTTCCCCACATTGCCCTGATGTTGACCACCTCTTCTGCCTCACCTTTTCCTTCTCCTGTAGGGTGTCCTGGGCCGAGTCTATGAGACAGTGGTGATGTTGATGCTCCTTACTCTGCTGGTGCTAGGAATGGTATGGGTGGCATCTGCCATTGTGGACAACAAGGCCAGCAGGGAGTCACTCTATGGTGAGAGCTGTTAGTTAGCTTTTCAGCACTGAGAGAAAATACCTGATGAAAACAACTTAAAGAAAGTTTCAGTCCCTGGTTACTTGACTCCATTGTTTCTTGGCCACGGTGAGGCAGAACTTCATGGTCAGGAGCATGTGGTGGAGGGAAGCTGCTCACCTCATAGTGAACAGGAAGCAGAAAGAGAGCAGGAAGGGGCTGGGACTGAAATGCACCTTTCTGGCCAGGCGCCAGTGGCTTACACCTATAGTCTTAGCTATTCGGGAGGCAGAGATAAGGAGGATCACGGTTCGAAGCCAACCCTGGCAAATAGGTTGCAAGACCCTATCTTGAAAAAACCCTTCAGAGGTTTTTTCTGACAGAGTGGCTCAAGGTGAAGGCTCTAAGTTCAAACCCCAGTACCTCAAAAAAAAAAAAAAAACCTTTAAAGGCACACCCCCCAGTGACCTGTTGCCTCTTAACTAGGCCCCATCTCCTAGTTTCCACCACCTTACAATAATGCCATCAAATTAGGAGTCCACCAGTAGATTAATCCATTGATTAGATCAGAGATCTCATGAGTTAATCACATCCCAAAAACTTCACCTCTGGACATTGGGACCAAGCCTTAAACACATGTTTTGGAGGGGACATTTCATACCTAAACCATAATAGAGGCCCAGTTTCTTCCCCTTTCGTGACTGGCTCTTTCAGTTGGCCAGTGTCCACATGCCTTTGATAAGATTGGCACATCTTTACTTAAGACTAAAATTTCAAGTTGTTGGACTTCTGGCCACATACAACCTGTGGAAATGTTCCTTTGTGCACATGCAAAAAATAAATGAATCATTTGTTTGTTTAGCTGTACTGGGGTTTGCACTCAGAGCCTTGTGCTTGTTAGGCAGGCACTCTGCCACTTGAGCCACTCCACTTGAGCCCTGAAGACTTACTTATGTATTGTGTCCTTGTCTAGACTCTGAGACTGTCAATTCCCAGTAAGCAGGAGGAGGGAGATAAGCCAACATGTCTTTTGTTTTTTGTTTTTTTTTTTCTTTTTTAAAAAATTCTTAGACTTCTGGGAGTACTACCTCCCCTATCTCTACTCCTGCATCTCCTTCCTTGGGGTCCTGCTACTCCTGGGTGAGTATACAGGGTCTGGAAAGGAATGATAGGATCCTAGGACCAGAACAACCAGGGCGGAAGGGGGAGGGACGGGATGCGGGGAGGGGTGAAGAGAAGGATCTGACCAGTGACTGGCTCTTGTCCCCACAGTGTGTACTCCACTAGGTCTCGCCCGCATGTTCTCAGTCACTGGGAAGCTGTTGGTCAAGCCCCGGGTACGTAGATAGTTCTCCTTGCCCTTTGATCATGCAGGGTGATGTCTCTGCATAGCTGGGACCAAACCATGAAACATGCCTTACAGTTGTGTAGTGTACAACTTGCAGAGGGCCACAGCCTTTGTTTGCTTCTGTATCCTTTACTCTATCATCTGGAGTTAGTCACCAGACATGCAAGGCTGAACACAAACCAAAGACTGAGACTGTAGAGCTCTGAGGAATATACAGGGTTCTTCTTGGGATCAGGAGGCCTCTGATAGTGCCTCCCTTTGCTCCCACCCCCAGCTGCTGGAAGACCTGGAAGAAAGCTGAAACTGCTCAGCCTTTGAGGAAGGCAGCTCTGACCCGTAGGATCTGTAGTGAGTTGGATTCTCTCCCACTGAGTTGGTAGGCTTGGCCCTAGGAAGGGCTGTGGCACCAAGGGAGCACTGTTTTCTCTGTCCTCAGATCCCACCCTCCTGCTGGCTGCTTTAGACCATGGAGCTGCTGCACAGACAGGTCCTGGCTCTGCAGACACAGAGGGTCCTGCTGGGTATGTGGTTGATAGGGCTTGGGACACCTGGGTTTTCCCCAAGGAGAGGAGCCTGTTGTTCCAGATGCTTGCTAATAGCCTCCAATCCCTGCACAGAAAAGCGGCGGAAGGCTTCAGCCTGGCAGCGGAACCTGGGCTACCCCTGGCAATGCTGTGTTTGCTGGTGTTGACGGTGGGTTATACTAGCATTGGTAAGGGAGTGGGCCCTTGAGTACTTTAGGCCTTCTCAGGGAAATATAGGGACCTTAGTTTTTGTTAATAATAGTTGTCAGCAGGGCATGGTGGTACATGCCTGTAATCCCAGCTACTCAGGAGGTAGAGGCGGAGGATCACTCTCAGTTCAAGGCCAGCCTGGGACAACTTTTGAGGTCCTAATCTCAAAAATAAAATACAAACAAAAGACCAAGGGTGTAGCTCAAGTAGTGGCACATGCATGGCCCTGGGTTCAATCCCCAGTACCACAAAAAAAAAAAAAAAAAACATAGTACTTGATCTCTTCATGCTTACATTGTGTCCTGTTCTGGGTATATGAACAACTTGCCCAAAATCAAATAGCCATTTAGAGCCAGGCATCAGTAGCTCACACTTGTAATCCTAGCTACTCAGGAGGCAGAGATCAGGAGGTCAAGGTTCGAAGCCAGCCTGGGCAAATAGTTCAAGAGAACCTATCTTGAAAAAAAAAAACCTTTCACAAAAAAAGGACTTGGTGAAGAGGCTAAGGTGTAGGCCCTGAGTTCAAGCCCC